CTCATTGGAAAAGACAATAATGCTGGGAAAGGTGGAGGGAAATAGGAATGGAGGAAGGCCACATGCTAGATGGATGGACTCTATGAAGGAGGTCATGGGTATGTGTTAGCAGGATTTAAGCAGGGAACTAGAGGACAGAGGGTCTTGGAGATGTCTCATCCAGAGGGTCACCATGGGTCGAGATTGACTTGAGGGCAGTTAACAACAACAAAACCCACATTCACACAGAACTATCTAAAAGGGCAAATTTGTTGAACATACAACAATAAAGATGCACAATAATTATATCAAGGAATAGCAAATACTATGACAAATAGTACATGTAAAATAACATCAACTACCTAACTGAGCAAATTTGTTCTAGGATGGAGAAATGCTAACACAAATTAGCACACTTGCAAGGCTGAGAAGGCTTGAGGTTAAGTAATGTAAAGTTTAGGGGCTGCTAGGAGAAGGAGAGAGAATGCTTCAAAAAGTAAACCACAGAGGGTCACACTTGCACCAGAGATAGGAGAGGCAAATTCAGGAAATTGCAATGTGCAAGAAAAATAGGTTTTAGGGAGGACAAAAGTTACCTCTTTTTGGTTCTTTGGACTTTTCTGGGGAGAAACTATAGGACATTGCATTCCTTCTTGGGACAGTGCAAAGGAAAGTAGGACAAACTAAGCAAGAGCCTCTAATCCAGAACCTGGAGAATGATCTAATGAAATTTTCTGCCCCAAATCCAAGATCTGGGGAAAGAGGCCAGTTTGGAAAGACTAAGGCCTAGTCTTAAGTTATTGATTCAGCAAGCACAAGTAGGAGGCAGCCACAATCTACTCTGAAGCTTCCAATATGTCTTACCCCAGAACATTATCTTGGACATCTTTTAAAAAAGGATTTTAGGTGGAAAAGACCCTTAAGTTTGTGTATTTCTGTTTTGCATTGCCTCATTTTGCTGACTAAAGCTTATCCGAAAGAGATCCCCCCCCAACTTTATGCCAGCTAGCAAAGAGAAGTGTTAAGTACTCGGTGCTCCAAAGGAGACATTTCCCATCAATGCCATTTTCTATTCATAATGCATTGCTTGAAAACTGCAGGATGTCACACTGGAAGAAATAGAACTTTGTATGAGGGCATTCAGTTATATTCTTAACACTCCTTGAGGTGGCATTCATGGAATCACATTCATTCAGAAAAGTGGATTAGCTATAGAATGTGACTAGAGAGGCCTTTCCTCCTGATCTTTCTCTGTTCTTAATCAAAGAGTCTCCATTTAGAACACACACACACACACACACACACACACACACACACACACACACACACACACATCTTGTCAGAGCTGTACAAATATGCCATCTTGGGTTACAGTGGCAAGGAATGCATTTGCATAGTTAAAGTTAGTGCACTGGCTGCACCCCTTCCTGAAGATCTCCCACCATTACCCAACACAAGTATAGCTATATTCCACTTGAACTATGCAACATCTAGTGCACTCCTGGGATTTTAGGAGGTGGACATTTAAAATTCTTAGCCAGAGTCTCAGCAAACTACAAATTCCAGGATTCCACAGGATAAAAGCATAGCAGTTAAAGTGGAATAATAGTGTGACAATTGTGTAGTGTGAATGGGCCCCCAGACATGGCAATACTTGTCTTGGTTGTTTCCCACTAAATTACTGTAACATCTCCAATGTGGAGCTGGTAGCTTCAGCTGGTACATACCTCACACATTCCACTTTAGGCAGAGTAGCAGTGCGTAGTTATTTGCCCTTCCTGGTTTTTCAGTGACATCCTAATTTCAAGCTTTAATTTTTTAAAAGCACAAAGTCTTGGCCCAAGGATGGGCAAAGTGTGGCCCACGGCTGCATACAGCCCCTCAGGCTTCAAAATTAGGTCTTTCAAGCCCCCAAATCTACCAGACTCCCTAAAAATGTATTTTTGTCCCCAACCCTTGCAAGCTCAAAACTGATACAAAATGCAATAGTTTTGTTCACCCAGCTCCCCCAAGCTCCTGTATAAAAAACCTGCAAGAACCCCTCCCCAAATTGGCCAAAGACCAGCTGAAATTGAAACTGGAAGTGATGCTACCCATTTCCTGTTTCAGTGTTGGCTGGGTTTTGGCTGATTGGAAAATTCTTGCAGGTTTTGAAGGGGGAGCTTCGAGGCACAATTGTTGCTGTTGCTGTGTGCCTTCAAATAATTCCTGATTCATGGTGACCCTATCATGGGGTTCTCTGGGGCTCAGAGAGTATGACTTGCCCAAAGTTACCCAGTGAGTTTCCATGGCCAAGTGGGGAATTGAACCCTGATCTCCAGAGTTGTAGTCCGACACTTAAACCACTATACCATACTCATTGTTTTTCTGTGTTTTTGAGATATTTTGTGGTGGAGGGGTGAAAATTGCCTAGAAAAAACAATTTTTATAGGTCTGTTGCATGAGAGTTACCCATTAGCTCCTCTGTGGTTACCCACCCCTACTTTATTCTCTCTCTGTGTTGTGTGCCTTCAAGCCATTTTTGGTGACCCTATCATGGGGTTTTCTTGGCAAGTTTCTTCAGAGGGGGTTTGCCACTACCATCCCCTGAGGCTAAAAGAGTGTAACTTGCCCAAAGTCACCCAGTGGGTTTTCATGGCTGAAGAGGGATTCGAACTCTGGTCTCCTGAGTCATAGTCCAGCACTCAAACCACTACACCACACTAGCTGTCACTACTCTGTATAGAAATGTAATTATATGGCAAAATGTGTGGAGGCGTCTGACTGGGCTGGCATCCTTCTTCGTGTCCTTCTGCTGCTGGCATGGAAAATTTTGTCAACTGACTGATTTCTGAGGACGGAATTTTAACTGGAAGTTTTTTTTTAAAAAAAATTAAAAATCAGTAAGGGATTTATGTCTTTGTAAGTGGACTTGCATCTGCGGGAAACAGAATTGAGCAATTTTGCTAGTGGAGTGACTGTTTTGCATCAGAGTCCATTGTGCATTGGGGCTCATATGTTAAGGGTCCTGATGTGCATTGGGACATTCTTGCTGGTGTCTCACTACACATCTTTGCAATTCACTATCAGGGTTTTGTAGTGCTTCTTCTACATAGCTAAGTATATTTAAAGTTATTTAGCATAGGACATGACAGAGAACCACAGCCATTGCTTTTAATAATATAATTTATTTAATGCAATGTAATATTATTCCTTTAAAATTATTTTTTGAGCTTTGTTTTGGGAGAAAGGTGGGCTATAAAATAAATAGACAAACAATTCCTAAAAATAACATCAGGTCATATAATTTGCATCCTTTATGGAGAGAACAAAGTGTTACTAAGACAACAGCAAACACAACTCAGACTGACCAGTGTCAACTAATGTGTTGTAATTTGTAATATGTAAGATTTCTAAGGTGCTGCTCCAAGCTGTTTTAAAATGATTGCATCCTACAGCATGAAAAGAAGTTCTGCTCTCTCTCTCAATTTAAGTACAGTAGTTTGATTTTCAAAATATACATTCAACCTCTAGTTTGCCTGAAATGTACAATACTAAAATTGATAGCAGTTCCTCAGACAAGATGCAAATGCAGATAAAAATAGAAACACAGCTTAATTACAGGAACTTAAAAATGTTTGATAACACTTTGGTATTATTGCAGTCTTTTTGCTCAAAGAATCCCACTTACCCTCAGCTTTGCTTAGTAATATGGAGTCCTTACTGGGAGTATTAAAATTCTTTGTATTTTGTGTGTATTTGGTAGGCAGAACGGAAGTTATTGAAGTGAAATCAGCAAGGATGATTTCAAAGAGGGGGTCCTTTTAAAGAAATTTTTGAAAGCATTTAATGTGTAAATATCTTAGGAATCATTGACTTTAGTGAGAGCCATAAGCTGAAATAAAATGCAGTTTATTCATGTTCTGGAATTTAAATGTTGAATAATGGCATGCATAAAATTTGAATTTGCTAACTAACAAGAGCTGATTCTCAAAGTAGAGAATTTCATGGGGCATTAACATGCAAAATATATATATATATATAAATGGTTTAAACCTTGTTTTCCAGAGAAGGGAATAAAACTATATTGCAATACTTAGGGAACTCAGAATCAATGAAAGGAAGGAGATCTATGTTAAGAGAATGTTCATAAGAATGAAATAAAATGCACCAGAAATTTGGTTCAGCTGTCTGTCCCCAATAGCTGAAAAGTCTCTTCACCACTGCCTACTGTGGATTAAAACCAGAAGGCATAAAAACATGTTTGGAACAAGAAAGAGGGCTTTCTCTGTATGGTGGCCATGCACTCTGTAGGGAAGTGCTACTCAAATTGGTGGTCCCTGAACAAGTGCAGGTCTGTGAGCCATTGGTTGCTCATCTACAGAGCATTTCCAGGAAAGAAAGAAACCATGGTAGCTAATGAGCACCAATATCATACTTCCCCTGGCACTTAAGGGGGAAAAATTGCTGGTTCATCACATCAGAGAAACACTGCTATAGGGTGCTATAAGCATCCTTGATTTCAGGGCATATACATTTAAAGGTTAAAGTTCAAGTACCACAGGAGGGGAGGAGATGGTTCTTGAATTTGCCAGTCAGTGAATCATGCATAGTTCTAGGTCAACAGGTCACAATTTCCCCACTATGTTGAAATATATTGTACTTCTTTTTAAATGATAACTTGATTATAGCAATAAGTAAATTATAGTAATTCCTAAATGTACATTCCTAAATATGCACATATATTGACAAATGCAAATTATGTGCTAATTAATTTCATAATTTTGGTGCTGCTTTCTTCTTTTATGTGATGTGTAAGTGCTCACCATACAGGAAGTTCCATCTTGCCTGATCCTGCCCATCCAACACAGTGCCAAAACCTTCCTGTTTATGGAAGTGTTGGACTATCCTTTCCAAGGCTGGGGAAAGCTATTTTGGACTTCCATCCTCTCTCCCCATTGGCCACTTTAGATAATGTTAGTGAAATTATAATGTAAACATCTGGAGGGCACTGGACAGAGTAGGGAAGGCTGGTATTTGCTGTCAAAGGCTTTAGACTCCAATTATATTCTTTGGCCTTATTATAGGAGTCCTGTATTATATTAACCTACCCCTCTTTGTTATCTATAATATTAAATGTATGACGTGTGTGTGTGTGTGTGTGTGTGTGTGTGAGAGAGAGAGAGACAGAGACAGAGACAGAGACAGAGACAAAGAGACAGAGACACAATGTTTGTGTGTGTGTGCTTTTTCTGCCATAGCTCCACAAACATGAAACCTGGCTGATATCATGCATTGGGAAATGCATTTGAATCATGTAATGGTCTCTATGCTAACCTTCTTAAACCATACCCTCCAATTATCTCAAATAGGGCAGGGACATTCCCAGTTAACCCTCTGTTGCCCCATCTTTTCACCTGCTTTTAAAATGTCCTAGTTTCTCTCTCTTCCTCCTACTTTCCTTCTTGTCGGTATTCTACTTCAGCTGCTGTGAACTGAGTTCAAAGTACCAAAGTAGTTTAAACTGTTAACTCAGTAAGACTGAATGTTGCCCTTCTAGTAGGCTCAGGCAAAGCAAACTGTTCCAACCTCTGCTAGCTTCTGTGCTTTTCCTTATCACTAATTTTTGCCATTGTGGTCATATTTTGATGTTGCTTGGCTTGTTTTCATCTGTGAAAAGTTGGAGGTTATGCCAAATCCACTTTGTAGGCAATGTAACCTTCTCTCCAACATGCTCATTTCAGTGTTGTCAGAGAGTAGGCAATCAGTGGGGATGTAGCCAGGTATTTTCCTCTAGCTGAATGTTCTGCAAACGACAACTGCAGGGACGTCTGACGGTTTGAGGGTGGTGGTTGCATCACTGCATCGTTGGAACAGAATTCTGAACCCTGCAACAATTGAAAAAGTGATTTGTGATGGTGTGTCTGACTTACACCTTCATAGTTCACTAACAGGATGCCAGTCCTAGACTCCCAATAGTTGACTCAGATGGTAAAGTGACCCTGAGGTTTTGTAGTTCATCTTTATTTTGTTTTTAAAACAAACTAATTGATATTAATTAATTAAAAACTTTTGTACCCTACAGTACCACACAAATGTGAGGTAACAGGCATCAGGCTCCACAGGAAAAACCCAGGAAGCCTTGAGTTTTGGTCCAAATGCCTGCTGTTGGTTTCAGTAGGTGGGTGAGGGACACCTGAGAACCAAGCTATTTAAACTTATTGCTCTTTTCACTGTTGAAACAGAATAGGACTATGTAATTAAGTTGCCTGGTGAGTTTTGACTCTATTTGTGGCCTAGTTAACACGGTGTTGCCTAGTCACTCAATGTGGTACTGCTGGCTACAATTAATTAGTCTGTTTTTTAAAAACAAGATAATCTCAGATGAATTTTCTCAAGTCCCCTTATGTGATTCAGGGGTCTGGATTTTACCATCATTGTGCAGGTTGAAATATACATTGTATTACTGTAAATCAATAATATTAATAAACACTTAGTCGAAAGCCCTGGTGAGTGAAAAATACATGACAGACTTTTCCTTATTTGTATACCAGATCAGATGACACAAAAATGGAAGTGCAGCATGCAGAGATGATGGTTAGAACAAGATAGTTTGTAATTGTTGCTCAAGGTAATTGTGGAGTTTGAGGGTCAATAACAGCACCAGTCAATCACAATTTTGTCACTAAGAAGCTGAGATGTAATTTTATCATTTTAGCACTTCATTTAAAATGTCTATACTATTCTGGAATGGTTAAATGGACAAAGGACTCAAGGCAGCTAGAAACAGGATGCCTGTGGTAAACATAGAAGCAACTAACACTGAAGAGTGAAGTTCATGATATGTGTATCCTCTACACAGTATCTTCTGTGTATCTTCATGTGTATTGATTGCAAAATCTAGCATGCACTGACCTTCCATGTCATGAATCTGTGATGATCCTGCAGTTTGTCTGGGTTAGTGTCCATGCCTCGTTATACACTCATAATACAGTCATCCCTTCTGATTTGTGGGGGATCTGTTCTACCCCCCCCAGAAAATTGGGAAAATTGACAATATTGGAGCCCCATTGATTACAATGGGGGTGTGCTCCCAAGTGCAGCAAGCACCTCTTGGCTTGTTGTCCACGAAGGATCAAGACCACGGACAGCAAGACCGAGAATCGGGAGGGACGACTGTACTTTATTTTCCTCCCTCTGAAGCTAAAGCCATGTTTTCAGGCCCAAAGCTTTCCTTTCTGCTCATGCTACCTTATGCCACTGTTTTAGATAGATTTAGTGATACATTCCCTGACACAGTTAGGCATTATCTATTTCAGTTGTGCTGCTCAACTATACTTGAAGCTTGGCAACATGACTTCTTGATGCAATATGTAAGTATCATATTGAAATTGTAAACCAGGGGTCAGCAAACTATGGTCCAGGGGCTGAACCTGGGTCTTTGAGCCGGCCCATGGCCAGTTCTGCCACCGCCGCCACTTTTCTAGCATGCGTGCAATGCGGGGCGCCATTTTGTGTTCCAAAATGGCACCAGCGCTCACGCACACATGTGCACGATGGCGAGCATCATTTTGGAACACAAAATGGTGCCAGCGTCGTGTGCATGTGCTCGCGATGCATGGCAACATTTTGCGTTCCAAAATGGCGCCTGCTGTTATGCGCATGTGTGCATGAGCATGAGTTTGTGTTCCAAAATGGCACCCCCCGCTTGTGCACGCATGCGCATGA